AATTATTAGAAATCCAGTAATTTTTTTAGTCAAATAGGAATTATAGCATTTTTCCCTTATAAAAGCCCATCCTAGGTTATAAAATCAACTGCTTTTCTACTATAGGATACAAAAAACTGGGGGTGTTGAGAGGGAGTCTCGCGCTGTCGCCCAGACTGGAGTGCAGTGGCGGGATCTCAGCTCACTGCAAGCTCCGCCCCCCGGGTTTGCGCCATTCTCCCGCCTCAGCCTCCCGAGTAGCTGGGACTACAGGCGCCGCCACCTCGCCCGGCTAGTTTTTTGTATTTTTTAGTAGAGACGGGGTTTCACTGTGTTAGCCAGGATGGTCTCGATCTCCTGACCTCGTGATCCGCCCGTCTCGGCCTCCCAAAGTGCTGGGATTACAGGCTTGAGCCACCGCGCCCGGCATATAAAATCATTATTATGATACATTGATGTCACACCTATTTTGTTACTCTATTAATATGCTTTTTTTTTTTTTTTTTGAGATGGAGTTTCACTCTTGTTGCCCAGGCTGAAATGCAATGGTGCGATCTCGGCTCACTGCAACCTCCACCTCCCAGGTTCAAGCAATTCTCCCACCTCAGCCTCCTGAGTAGCTGGGATTACAGGCATGCGCCACTACGCCTGGCTAATTTTGTATCTTTAGTAGAGACGGGGTTTCTCCATATTGGTCAGGCTGGTTACGAACTCCCGACCTCAGGTGATCTGCCCACCTTGGGCAGATCCCGAAGTGCTGGGATTACAGGTGTGTGCCACCACGCCCGGCCAATATGAATTCTTAAGTCTTAATTTCAAAGAGGGTTGTGAGGAATATATGCAGGTCTTTAAATTGTATTTATTCAATAACTGACTTCAAAATTGAAAAAAAAGGGAAACAATAGTTTGCCATTACCTACCCATTAATGGTAATAGAGAGTTTTTTTTTTTTTTTTTTTTTTTTTTTTTTTTTAGACAGAGTCTCACTCTCTCGCCTATGCTAGGGTGCAGTGGTATGATCTTGGCTAACCGCAACCTCTGCCTCCCAGGTTCAAGCAAGTCTTCTGCCTCAGCCTCCCGAGTAGCTAAGACTACAGATGATGCCACCACGCCTGGTTAATTTTTATATTTTTAGTAGAGATGGGGTTTTGCCATGTTGGCGAGGCTGGTCTTGAACTCCTGACCTCAGGTGATCCACCCACCTCAGCCTCCCAAAGTACTGGGATTACAGGCGTGAGTCACCATGCCTGGGCAGTGATGGAGAACTTTCTAACGCATCCAAATTTGTTCTTTTTTTTAAGATGAGATTGCTACTGATAATTTTCTTTCTTTCTTTTTTTGTTGTTGTTGTTTTTAGAGACAGGCTCTCTGTCACCCAGGCTGTAATGCAGTGTTGCAATCACAGCTCACTGTAACCTCAAACTCCTGCTCTCAAGCAATCCTCCCACCTCAGCTTCCCCATTAGCTGGAAATACAGGGGTGCACCACAACACCCAGCTGCTATTGATATTAAACCCTTTAATCCACTGGGAGTGAAACAATGCTATGGTTTGGTTTGACTTGGTTAGGTTATTTACTAATGACTAAATCGAGCAATCAATTTACATTTACATTTTAAAAAGTACAATAATTATTCTGACTGTTCTCAATTAACATGAATTCAAGGACTTGTATCTTCCTATGAGTGGAGCTAGATTTCTAGGGTTGTTAGCTCTTTATCAAACACCAGTATTTAAGGACCACACAAAATTAGCATTGCTTACAGCAGCATTTTCATCAGATTTTAATACCATCTTCACATCTACTTACATAGATGAAGAAAGTTTCATATTAGATATTTTCCCATCGCAGCTATAGATTTGCTTTATCAGAATAAATACACCTTCCAAATCATTTATTTCAAAACAATCCGAAGTTTTCTCTACTTTCAGGCTTCATCACTGCTTAATATGCTTATATTCTAAACTAATAAATCATAGGAAATATACACAGTATAAAATCTTCAGGTAAGCTAATATCAAAATATTTACTGAAAACTTAAGAAGGGCTAGGTCTTGCGGGAACACAAAGATACACAAGACCTGGTCCATGTTAAGGAACTAAGCCCACCGCATTCCTGTAGAGGTTCCCCAAATCCCACTTCCTCCTCCTTCAGTAATCCTTCATTTTTTATGACCATGTAAGCAGGTCCTCCAGGTAAGTGTCAGTCTCCTCTTGTTTGAAGGAAAGAGCTTATCAATTTCTTGGGAGTCCTCTTGTTCCCTTGTTACCCAGTCATTCTTCTGTGGGTAAGCTAGCCCTGAGAGTGTGAGTAGATGTGGGGCCACAATTCCTCACTGCCACAGCTAATGACCATAAAAATCATCTCACATATCTGATGCTTTCTTTTCTCAAGGTGGCTGAAAGTTCTAAACTGATAGAAAAATTATTCCAAGAAACTACTCTGTCTTTCTATGACCATGTCCAAACGAGACTGACAAAACTCTCCAACTGCTGAAAGTCACAGGGGCAGTCTGCAGTGAAAATCGTCTCCAGTGACCTCGTAACTTACGGTAGCCCCTGTGGGAAACTAGTGCGCTTTTCAGTTATTTCTCCCCAACCAAAACATTTAAGAAACTTTTGTCAATGTGTCCGTCTGTCCCACATCCCTGGCTTGTCCTCTGAGCAGCTGGACCTTGGCAATAAAACAGTTTCCCAAGAACTGATGGCCAAACTTTCTCCAATACTGTTACCCACTTACCCCAATGATCTACCTAACCTGAGGAACAAATTCACTAACCAAAAGAATCCCCAATTGCTTTTGGATGACTGGGAAGGCTTCTAATCATCTAGAATCCCCTCTGAGGTGTCACAAGAAATCCAGCTGCTCAGAAACTCCCCAACAAGCAATTCAGACCCTGAAGTCACCTCCTAAGCTAATAGAAACACCGGATTCTGGAGGTGTGGATGAAGGTCTCGTGCTACTAATACAGTTAAAGTGGCTCCTGGCGCGGCCTCCACAGACTTTCCTTCAGGCCTAAGAAACACTTCCTGTATGAAACGGGGATGTCAGGGTGTTCTGACTCAGTGTGTCATACCATATGTCCCTAGAGTTGACATAGCTAATCAGGCAGTCCTGTTTCTTCCTTATTGCCCAGTCAGTGCCCCTCCCAAGGCTACACAGGATCGATAAGAACCTTCCCAGGTAACACAGGAAAGCTCTTTGGTAAGGGAGTAACGACAAGAAGCTAAAGCACCTGTGCTAGAAACTGCATGTGAGCTCACTCCTCTGGGGGGCGTCTACTTGACCGAGATGTTCAGTAAGGGCTCCCCGTGGGGTAAAAGTGTCTCAAACAAGAGCAGGGTAGGATAACCACTCTGTCACGAAGGACATCTTGGTGTATTGCTTCTTTAAGAAAAACTCTGGCTGGGCGTGGTGGCTCATGCCTGTAATCCCAGCACTTCGAGAGGCTGAGGCAGACAGATCACCTGAGGTCAGAATTCGAAACCAGACTGGCCAACATGGTGAAACCTGGTCTCTACTTAAATACAAAAATTAGCCAGGCGTGGTGGCAGGTGCTCGGAATTCCAGCTACTCGGGAGGCTGAGGCAGGAGAATCGCTTGACCTGGGAAGCAGAGGTTGCAGCAAGCCAAAGTCACGCCACTGCACTCCAGCCTGGGCGACAGAGCAAAACTCCATCTCAAAAAAAAAAAAGAAGAAGAAGAAGAAAAACCCTGATACCCTGATCCCATTAACAGGATTCCAAGGTAAAGTCCCTCATGCAGTGGCCATGTGAAACATGAAATGAGTTCCTAAACTCACCACATTCGTTTAGTGAAATGCTAATAATAGTTGTTATATTTAACACACTCATACCCCCAGTAAAAGAATGTGTCTGTCAACAGAGACAGAATCTAATATTACAATTCTCAGTTACAGACTTCTGAAAACTACATTCTAAGACAAGCTGGCTTCACTTAAGCACACTAATTGAAAGACCAGACGGAATCACAGCATAAATGAAAGGTGTACAGATAGACAATGAAAAAGGTGGAACTATCCTGGTTCTTAGAGAACTGAGGAAAAGCTTGTGAGAGAGAACGGGAGACATGGAAATCTTATCTAAACCTGCACAGAGTTTAAAATTATTAACACACCAACAACTAATTAATCTTAATATTTTGTTTTTCTTAGATCAAATGTTTAAGAGCACTCTTGTCTATCATTGAAGCTGAATCTGCCTAACACAGCAGCTTTATGTTAAGGTTATTGTGTGCTGTCAAACTATATTCCCAGGGAAAGGATTTTCATTTGCAAAATGAGAAGCAAAGGATGAACAGCCTTCTTTGGAATTTGATGGGATTAACTCCTACGATGCCGTCCTTCAGGACAGATATAGAATATTTGGTCCTTCCCACACATTTTATAAAATCATTTGGTTGCTTAGCATTTCTACGTTGAGACTTTTTTAAAATTATAAAACAAATAAAAATACACAAGTAACTTTTAAAACAGTTCCCCTAATTACCAGAAGAAACATTCTCCACACATTCTCCCCCTAGTTCATTGTTCATAATGCCCAGAAAGGTGACCTTATCTCTGGAGTCTGCTCCAACTATAAATGTTAAGTAAGAGTCTGATACTGTAATATTGGTCTGGTTCTTGCCACAGGGATGGGAACTAACAGCGGGAGCTGAGATGTTCATCATTTGATGTTCTTTTATCACAGGTGAATGGAAAAAGGCAGACAGAAGCAGCTGGCTTTAAGCTATCCATATGGGTGTGCAAATCTGTGTGGCACTACCAGTTAATACCAAGTGAAGAGGCACTTGAGCTAAGTCAAAAATACACTGACCCATGTGGAAGAATGATATAGTATTCAAGTTAAATAGGACAGTGACATCAATCAAAAGCTATAAATAAATCATTTTACACAGCAAAGTTGGGATGATCTATTGTAATGTGAGCTCACTGTAAAATATGCTTACTCACACAGCTCAACAAGATTCTGAGTCCTTTTAATTCCATCACGAGCCTTACCTGCAAGCAGGTGAACAGAGTTGAAGCTCTTCTCCAGTTTACCCAGAAGTACAGTGAGAAAACAGTCTGAAGAGAGAGAAGCAACATCTTGGGAGCTTTGATCGTAAACTACAACCTTCTGACTGCAATCAATGTCAACCTGAAATGCAATCATGAGGCTTGTTAGGAAGAAGGTGAGAAAAGTAATCTCAAACTACTGCTTAAGATCTCACGTTTACCAGTGCTGAGGCAAATAATTGCTTCCTGTTTTCAATTAATAATTTGAATAAAAATTAGATGTAGTCAATTTACGGATAGACAGCATACAAAACTCTTAAAAACCAAAACCAATGCTATTTCTGTGTAGGTGGTCTCACAATTCCCTGGTTTTAAATCCTTTACGCTATAAAATGGTAAAGTCCAAAATAAACCAAACAATACGCAAATAAACATAACCCTGGACCTAAACAAACTTTTTTAAAAATGACTTTTACAGCTTAACAAAGAAATCAGTTATTTAAATTAAAACATGATCTCATATTTATTAGTGAAGAAAAAAACAGCCTTCCTCACTACACAGACATTTTAGTATCCCAGGAATAACTTTCCTTGAAGATAATATCATTAAGTCTTGACCAGTGTTACCACATGTGTTATGACATATAAAAAGCACCCCTAATAATTAGTTCCTACTTTCTTTCCAAAGAACTTGAAAAGAATGACTTTCCTTTCAGTAAATTAGCAGATAATATAAAATAGTGTTTAATAAAATAATTTTAGCAAGCCACAAGAAAATACAGCACTTGTCCAAACTAAAGCAAGTTAATCCTTCTGCATAGTTTAGAAATATTCTTAAATGTGACAATATGGACAGTAAATTATTTTGAGATACCACAAGGCACCAAAATTTAAAAAGCAACCAAAACTTCCTCAAATTACTTTCTCTACTTAAAGAGGAGGCTTCAATTAAAATTATTCCCTATTCAGTGTGTCCATTTATTTTAAAAAGGCAAAAAGGAAAGCATTTACCTTATGTTTCGCTGAATGCTGAATGAGCTCTGTAATTAACACTTTGTCCTGTTGCAACCTTCGCTTCATAAGCTTGGAGCAGTTGATATTAATGGCTTCCAAAATGTGGGATGTATTGTATTCCACAAATGGCCGGCTATCAATTAGCAGCACTTTTTCCGTTCCACTTTCCAGCAGAGCCACCAGCCTCTCAGTAACAATTTGAGTTCCAATCATCTCATGGGCCATGACAACAATAAGTCCTCTTTTCCCACCTCCTTCTTTAATTTGCCACGATGATGTAATGGTGGTGTGCTCAAAGGCTCAGCCACTCCATTGTACTAAAAGTGTATGAGGTCAGGCTGGTGGTGACTGGCAAAAGGAGAGTTAAACCCATTTTCAGCAAGAGCCCTCCAAGTGAATGTCTCTTTCTCTTTCCCGTTGATGTGCTCTTGCAAAGGACTCCGTCCACAAAGCAGCCCCTCACATTTGATTCATAAAGAGATGACTGGAATAACCATTCCACAACAAAAGATGCTTTGGGGCAGCCAGCGCATTACATCATTCTTTACCTTTGCTCCCGCGCTCCAACAGCTTTACACTGGACTGAAAGCCTACGCGGAGAGGGAAAGACAGAAAACAAAAACGTGAGGTCAAAAGAAGAAGAAAGAGTGTCAGATTAGAGAGAGTGTATGATTCATAATATTTACTCCATTAATCTAATTCCACACTTGATGCACTGCTTCATTTGAACAAACAAATAAAAAGGACAAATTGGTATGGCTTCAGAAAAATGTACTAGTGATAATTCCATTTCACCTCAAAATGTAAAAACTCAAAGAAAACAAAACAAGACATATCATGAATTATAATCACCCAGGGCTCTGAACTAAATGACCTGTAGTATGGAATTAAAAGGGCTATCAAAAGCTGCTTGAAGTATTATTATTCCAAATAGTTTTCCTATATTTTATTTGCTTATTTATTGAAACCCCACAAAGAATAGCAGCTGAGGACCAAGTTAGCAATCCCGTCTTAACAGGATCAAAAAAAAAAAAAAAAAAAAATCTCTTCTGAAATGGCTTGAGAATTCCTGCCATGAGTGGGTAGGCGTATACATGTGCACATGTGAGCTCACGCAAGTACCAGGGCGCAAATAGCAGCCTTTTAAAATTGCCCTCATGGAGGAGAGAAGATGCAGGAAAACTGGAAGTTCTATAAATTTCAGCTATCTTTTAAGGAAGAGGAAGGACAAAAACAACTGATATGTCTGTCACAGCAGCTGCTGAGCTAGGACTGTGAAGTGCCGAAGCTCACAACCATGACCCTGGCATGTCTCCTTCTGGAGGCCGCCTCCCTACCACCAAGTTGCTTAAGGCCCTGTAAGCTTATCCTTCACTTTTTCCTGCTTCATTCTTCAGAGAATCACTAACTCCTAGTCTTAAAAAAATCTCACCCCTTAACCTGGAACTTTAAGTTAGCAACCCAGACATACAGAGCCCTTAACGTTGGACTCAGTGCTTTCCCTTCTTGCCAAACTCCTTTAATCAATCACTTTCTAATTAACACTAGTTGAAGTTTTGTGCTTATTGCTTGGACTTCACCTTGACCTTCAATACTCTCAGATTCCTATCTCCCCTGGTCCATCTCTGCTTATACGAAATCCTCTACTACAGAAAACTACATGTCTACTTCTGGCATTGAACTTCTAGAGGGTAAATTTTTGTTTTTTTTTTTTTGAGACAGGGTCTTGCTCTGTCACCCAGGCTGGAGTGCAGTGGCACAATCTCAGCTCACTGCAACCTCCACCTCCTGGGCTCAAGTGATTCTCCTGCCTCAGGCTCCCAAGTTGCTGGGACTACAGGCACACGCCATCACGCCCGGCTAATTTTTGTACTTTTTGTAGAGACGGGTTTCGCCATGTTACTCAGGCTGGTCTTGAACTCCTGGGCTCAGGCAATCCACCCATCTCAGCCTCCCAAAGTGCTGGGACTATCGGTATGAGCCACCGCACCTAGCCTAGAGGGTAACTATTTGATAGCAAAAGTTTATTATATTTCTTACTTCTACAGTACTTTGGACATAATATACTCAATTTATTATTATAGTAGGTAAATTCTTCCTTGTTCCAAAAACAATTTAAGACTCTAAATAATTATTTGATTAGCTGATTTCAGATCAGGATGTCAGAGCCTTTAAAAACCTTTAGGTCATGTTTCCTAATTCTGTGCTTACAAATTAGAAGCTAAAGCACGGACACAGAAGGGGGAGCATGATATAAAGAGATGCAGCTTTGCCATTTACTTATGTAACCTTGGACAAATCACATAACCTCTCTAAACCACAGTTTCTTCCCCTACAAAATGTAGACATTATTGTTTTCAAATTTTGGTCTGAGGACAAAATTATCTAATTTATTGAACGCTGGTAAGTAAAAAAGCAACCATGCATCACAGAGAGACAGGAGGAAAAATATCCTATAGATGCCAATGGCAAACAAAGCTGGCTTGCATCTGGCATCTAAAAGACATCACTCACAGATAAAAACAGATGTAATTCCATCCTCCTGTAGTACAGCTGCAACCAAACTGTGCCCTTTCTCACAGAGGCTGACACACAGGGAGTTAGAAGGCACCTGAGATACTGTCTCAACCACACCACATTTTACAAACCAGCTCCATTTAATACATTATATGTCCATTTCTTATTTTCCAAGAAACACCTTTCATTAATGTATTATTTTCAGTATAGCTTTATGGCAATGAAATACAAAAGTCATCTCTATTTTCAACTGAAAGAACTGTAAGAGAGAATTTGTCCTAGTCAATCCACTAATAAACTTCTGCAAAGCACCTACCAAGGCCATACCACTGAAACAGGTTCTGCCTGCTCAGTGACAGAATTCATGGCAATGTAAGGTCCTGTACTCAGATTGTCTGATTCCCAAACCAGGTCTTCTACTACTAGGTTACCCTGTTTTCCCTAAGTACTTGTTCCCATAATGGAACTGGGCTGGGAAAGAATGATGCCAGTTGTCCATGAGGGTACCCAGGTGGCACAGAAAGTGGAAATTCGAGAACAAGAGCAAGTTGATTCCAACAATGGCACTGGGTCTCTGAGTCTGATTGACTCCTCTGAAAGAGATAAAATCCGGATGGGACAAAGCAGTTATCTGGGTTAGCAGATCAAGGGACAAAAGGAGGGAGAAGTCAGCAAACATGCAAAAGTTGAATTAGAAAGTTCTCATCTTTGCTTGCCCTCAGCCAATTCTCATAAACCCAAAGACAGGTTACAACAAACAGTTCTACAGAGCAGAAAATGTCATTCTTGCCCAGAGAACCAGAGTGTAGTTACAGATACAAAAAGACCCTTTCCCTGACCAAGAAAGGGCCTGGTCAAAATGACTCTAACCTGAGAAGGTAAGTGAAGCACAGGGGTGAAAGTGAAGTGAGGGTGAAGTTACATTCTTTCAGTGCTGTACTGAGGCCAGCCGGAGTCCTCCTGGTAGGACTTCATGCCCAACGTTTAATTTTCTGTAATCCTAAATGGGTGAGGTGAGAGGCAGAGCCCTGCCAAGGGATCATGGAGGGTAAAGTAACAATGGCCTTAATCTCTTTTATTTACACAGTTAGAGAATTTTGGTTAAATCCCCATCACTGGCTACAACTCTAATTTTAAAAATTTCTCTGTATTTACTGTTGTGTTTTCAAAATCCTTTGCATTAGGTAACATTTGAAAGATGACAAGAGAATATTTTGCTTGCAACATCACCAAGCTAACCTTACCCAGAATTTCTATAAGTCAAGGGGAATAAAAATTCTTACAATGAACCACAAAGGCCCAAGTCCATAGAACAAAACCCACAGTAGACCAGTTTTGCTATTTATCTATTTATTTAGCCAACTATTAAAGTTTTAAATACTTTCTTTAGATTTTTAAATAGGTAATATATTCATATGGTTCAAAAAACAGTCTAAAAATGTATACATAGTATGAATATGTACAGTTTATTGTGTCACTTATACTTCAATAAAGGTGTTTAAAATTGCCATGACATTGAAAATGTAGCAAATACATTTAAATGAAAAAAAACCTAAATATATTTAAAAATCCTTCTTCTACTATTATCCTCCACCTGTCTGGGTCCCAACCCTGCCCTCTAACTGGCAACAACTTTTAGCAGTCTCATCTAATTTATTCCAAAGATTTTTTTAAATTAATACAGAATAAAACACAAACATTATACACTTTTCCTTCTCTTTGTTCAAACGGTTACACAGTCTAGCCACTGTCTGGCATCTCGCTTTTTCTTTCACTTACAGCACTTGAATCTGATTTTTTTCAACATTTAATTAGAAAATGAATCACTCTGCATTTCTATGGGCCTTGCATATATGCATGTCTGGAAATCTAAATAAAACATGTTGAGGCCGGGCGCGGTGGCTCAAGCCTGTAATCCCAGCACTTTGGGAGGCCGAGACGGGCAGATCACGAGGTCAGAAGATCGAGACCATCCTGGCTAACCCGGTGAAACTCCGTCTCTACTAAAAAAATACAAAAAACTAGCCTGGCGAGGTGACGGGCACCTGTAGTCCCAGCTACTCGGGAGGCTGAGGCAGAAGAATGGCATGAACCCGGGAGGCGGAGCTTGCAGTGAGCTGAGATCCGGCTACTGCGCTCCAGCCTGGGCCACAGAGGGAGACTCCGTCTCAAAAAAAAAAAAAAAAACACACACACACAAAAAAAATTAAAATTTTTTTTTTTTTTTTTTTGAGATGGAGTTTCACTCTTACTGTTCAGGCTGGAATGCAATAGCACAATCTCGGCTCACCGCAACCTCCGCCTCCCCGATTCAAGCAATTCTCCTGCCTCAGCCTCTCCAGTAGCTGGGATTACAGGCACGCGCCACCACACCCAGCTAATTTTGTATTTTTAGTAGAGAAGGGGTTTCTCCATGTTGGTTAGGCTGGTCTCGAACTCCAGACCTCAGGTGATCCACCGGCATTGGCCTCCCAAAATGCTGGGATTACAGCTGTAAGCCACCATGTCCGGCGAAATTCTTAAACTTAAAAGATAACTCCAGCTGGGCATGGTGGCTCACGACTGTAATCCAAGCACTTTGGAAGGCCGAGGCAGGAGGATTGCTTGAGTCCAAGAGTTAAAGACCAGCCTGGGCAACACAGCGAGACCCTATCTCTACAAAAATTAAAAAATATATGTATACACACATATGTAACATTTCCCCCCTAAAATTACATACCAGAGTACCTAGAAGCTGACAATTCATAATAGTGTGCTCAAAAGGTTAGCAGATTAAATGCTGGGAGTCGCCACAACTGGTGTTTTATGACATCTTATTTAGAGACCCTCTATACCCACTCTGGCTTAAAAGAAAATTAAAATGTGATGGTGAACATTCATGAAGTTATGGAAATTATCTTTTAAAGGATACCCGAAAGTCAGCAAGGCAGTATTTATCATACTGAAGACTAGTAACCTTAATCAGGGCTACTACACAAAAAAACTGCAAAGTATCCCAAGTTCAAAATAAAGGTTTTAAAAGACTTTATCTAGGAATAAAGATAAACGGAGTCCACATCTTAGTATAACAAAA